GAGTGGGCCATTTGGGATCCACCCACCTTAACCTCTATGCCATCTGCTGGCCCTAGTTTTTTTTTTTTTTTTTTTTGAAAGATTTTTGCCATAGAGTGTATGAGCTCACCAGAGAGAGGGAAGTGAGAGATCACCCCCTAGGAGGGATGGCCATACCACAATCCCTTACCTTCATTCTCTCCACATTTTGGGTACACAAACACACACACCTGGCATGATTTTTCAGCTGCCATGTTCAGAACTTGAACCAGGGTCAGCCTTGTGGGATTCCAGTGCTTTAACCACTATGCCACCTGCTGGCTCCATTTTTCTTATTTTAATTTCCAAAGTGTGTGTGTACTTGCTGGAGATGGAGAGAGGGAAAGGGAGAAAACATCCTCCAGTGAGATGTGTTCACATCACAGTCCCCCTCCATTTCTCCATCCTGTAAGGATTTTGGGCATGCATGCACACTCACCCAGCATGTTTTTCAAGCCACTGGGGCTGGGATTCAAACTGTGGTCATCATGTGGGTTACAGCTCCCTTAATCAGTAGTCCATGAGACTAGCCCTACATTTAATCTTTAGCAAGCTTATAAAGGTAGTGATTTTCTTTACCTTGAAAAAGAGACAGGTTCAAGAATTAGGAGATGATATTTGCTTCTGAGACTTGAATTTGGGGCTGTCTTTCCACCATATTACACTGGCTCTAAAGCACCAAGCTTTTGCAAAAGGTAGGATGTTTAAAGCAGTGGTATCCAACAAAGATAAAAGAAAATTATGTCATTTAATGACTGTAGACTAAAATAAGTGTGAGGTGCCCCTGGTAACCCCATTTCTGTAGTAATGCCAAAGGGTAAATAAAAAATGATGCAGCATAGTCCTTTGCCTTTGATGAATTCAAATGAACTTATTTTTGTATATAAATAAAAGTTTAATATATATTTAGATGATCTGTGGTAAGTGATACATGGTCAAAAATACTTTAGGGGGGGTCATGCTTCTGGAAAGGAGAATATTTAAAGTAATCACTTTAGTATAATAGTGATATATTTTAAGTAAAGCAATAAAAATCTCCCATATTCTAGCTGAAATTTTTTAAAAGTTTTTATTTATTGGGGCCGGCAGGTGGTGTGTTGCTTAAGGGCACTGGACTCCCACTTAACTGACCACAGTTCGAGTTCTGGACCTGGCAGCTTGCTTTCTCACTTCCCTACTCTTTCTCTTGCTCTGTCCCTCTCTGGTCAAATTAAAATAAATCAATAAAGTTAAATAAAAGTTTTTACATTTTTATTTATTATTATTTTTAAATTTGCTATGGGACACGAGAGAGAGAGAAAGAAGGAAAGTGAGAAAGCAAACCACAGGTACAGGGCTCAAACTGCAGTTAGCCATAGAGAGTCCATTGCCTTTACCACCATGCCACTTGGTGGCCCCTCTAGGTGAAAATTTTATACTTTCCCATTTAAAAACTTTTAAAACTTAGTTCAGTTGGGGCCAGTAGATGGTGTAATGATTATGTTGCTCAACTCCCACAGTGTCGACTGCAGTTGGGTCCCAGACCTGGCGGCTTGAAACTCACGCCTGTGTGTGCGCCCAAGATCACAAGACAAAAATGGAAGAGAAGGGATTGCAGCGTGGCCATTCCCCCTGGGGAGTGATTTCTCACTTTCTGTCTCTGTCTCTCTGGCCAGCGCACGTGCCCTGTCACAAAAATCTCTCTCTTTTTTAAAAAAATAATTGTTTATTTTATTTAATTCATTCACTTATTTTTTAATTTGACCAGAGAGAGACAGAGGGTGAGAGTGAGAGAGAGAGGAAGTGAGAAAGCAAGCCACCAGATTCAGGACTCGAACCCTGGTCGGCCATGTGGGAATGTCCAGCGCCTTAACCACCATGCCACCTGCTGGTCCGCAAAAATCTCTCTTAAAACAAAACAAAAAACTTCTACTAATAGTTTCCCAGTTCTATTCGTTTTATGTTCTAGAATTCTAATATTTAAACCTATTCCAGTAATTATCTTTACTATTTTTACTGCCTGCCTTCATTTTTGTTAAGAATTTCTCATTTATGATAGGACTCTTATGTATTTCTTGATATATTTGGCTAAGGTTTCCTTGTCCTGATTCTGTAAGAGTTGGCAGGCAGCATTCTGGAACAAGGCCATTTCTTTCCATGACGATGAAAATTGTTGTAGTGTGCCCCCTCCCCTCCTCTGTTTTAACTTTCTGCATGCCTTAGGGTGAATCAGCTAATTCATTTAGTAAATTCATGATTCCTTAGGATCTTTGCTTTATTCTTTTTCCTTTTGTCCCCACTTTTTGGCAGTTTTACTACTTAACACTTACCTGCATTCAGATGTCACTAGGGCAAAGATAAAGAGAAAGGGATAAAATTTATTCTTCTGGCACCAGCAGGTGGTGTGGTGGTTAAGACACTGGACTTGCACATGGCCAGCCATTGTTCCAGTCCCAGATCTGGCAACTCTCACTTTCTCTCTGTCTCTCTCTGTCTCTCTCTGGTGAGCATATGTGCCCTATAGTAAATTTAAAATAATAATAATAATAATAATGATAATAATAAATAAAATTAAATCTTTAAGAAAAAAGTCTTGGGAACCAGCAGTTAGCGTAATGGCTATGTCGCTGGACTCCCACGTAGTCGACCGCGGGTCGTGTTCTGTCTGTCTGGCGAGCGCACACGCCCTACAGTGAAAATCTCTCCAAAAAAAAAAAAAAAAGAAAAAAGTCTTATTACTGTGATGGAGAAAAGCAATCAGTTGGTTCCCAGGGCCTTTTTTAGATTTATAGTAACATTTATAAGGTAAAATCACAAATAGTGCTCAAATCAGTTTTTAATATTAGAGATCTGAGGCATTTTTTGTTTATAAATAAGGGAGATGTTTTCTACCTAATGTCTAACCCTTGTTACCTGTTTTGTTGCCTATGTTATGTGTCATATTTATTGCATCCTTTAACTGTTATAATTTATTGAAACAATTTTTCCCCAGGGTCTTATTTTTGTTGTAGATAGCAATGATCGTGAAAGAATTCAAGAAGGAGCAAAAGAGCTGCAGAAAATGGTAATACAATTTAAATTTATCATTCTCAAGATACATTTTTCTGAGTGACACTGGTGGTTTTACTGATTGGTACGTTTTGACTATGATAGATTACACAAATGAATGTTTTAGGGCTAAGAAGGACCTTGAGAAACTACGTCATCCACAGGTTTTTAACAAGTGCACGATATCTATATAACTTTTGAAAAGTTACAGAAGAGTAGCTTCTTTAAGTTGGAAGCAAGATGCAGCCTGGTTAGAGGATGTTCCCCCTGTTTAAGCCGCACATCCTGGTTGAGAACACCTGATTTAGTCAGTCCTCCCCCTTAGTTTTAATAGATATAACACCTGTAGTTAAAGCAGTTTTCACCTAGCAACCATGGTTTCTCAAGATTGTTGGGTTCACTTTTCTCTCTACTGTACCTATAATTGCTTCAGAAATGTTTATTAATAGCAATCATGACTGAATTCCTAAAAATAGTGGCATTTTGTTTTGCAAGTTGCATTTTGATCTTGTCGTATATCTGATTAATGTTTTCATATTGTTGAAAATCCTGACGGGAGAAAAACTGTAAATACAGGAACCTGTTGTGATTTCAAACTTTTAGCCATGAAACATTTATTTAAAGAAGCATTAAATCTCATTCATTCATTCCTTATTCCAAAGACTGAAGTGCAGTTTGTAAAACCATTATACCAATATATGTGTGGCTAAGTAACTGGGCTGTTTTCCTGATGAATCAGATGCCACTGGCTTGTACTCTTCTTTTGTAAACAGTTTCCTTGAGATATTTAGGTACTATAAATTTCCATTAGGTACCATTTGAAATGTACAAGTCAGTGGTCTTTAGTTTACAGAATTGTGCAGTCATCACCACAATCTGATATTAGAAATGTTTCATCCCTCCAAAAAGAAATCTAGAACTATTAGCAGTGACTTTCCACTCCTTCCTTCCCCTTAGCCCCGACAACTAATCTTTTTTCTATTTTTATGTAATGATCTCTTCTGCATATTCTTATAAATGGAATCATCTAATATGTGATCATGTGATGTTTTGTGACTAGCTTCTTAATTTTATTTTTTTTTAGAATTATTTAATTTTTTTTTTAGAGATTTTTGCTATAGGGTTTCTTTGGTTGCCAGAGAGACAGAAAGTGAGGTGAAGTCAGTGCTCCATGTCGGGGGCATTCTTGCTGTCCGTTAGTAACAGGCTGGGAATTAAGGAGACACCCTGTGTATCATATTGAGATATTACCCCCTAGGGAGGATGGCCATGCTGCAGTCCCTTCTATTCTGTTCTCCTCTTGGACTCTGGGGCATGCATACATATGCACTTGGCATGAGCATTTTTTTTTTTTGATTAATTTTTTTTTCCACATAAGTTGTGCCAGAGAAAGAGAGAGAAAGGGAGAGAAAGAGGGAGAGTGAGAAAACAAGTTGCCAGGTCCAGGACTCAAACTGTGGTCGACCATGTGGGAATTCCAGCACTTTAACTACCACACCATCTGCTGGCCACCAACATGAGTTTTAAGCTGCCAGGTCCAAGACTTGAACCACAGCCAACCTTGTGGGAGTCTAGCGACGTAACCATTCTGCCATCTGCTGGCCCCAGAATTGTTTAATTTTATTTATCACTATTACTGTTATTTTTTAGTTTGTTACAGGGACGTTCAACTCACCAGAGAGACAGAAAGTGAGAAAGTAAGCCACCAGGTCTGGAACTCAAACCACAGTCAACCATGTGGGAGTCCAGTGCTCCAACCACCATGTCATCTGCTAGCCCTAACTTCTTTCATTTAGCATAATTTTTCAAGGTCCATTGAATTCCTACCAGAGTCTATTCTTGGGACTCCTCTTGTTTTTGTTTTTGTTTTTGACTGTAGGGTACATATGCTCACCAAAGAGACAAGAGATAGAGGGAAAGTGAGAAATCACCCCCCAGAGGGGCTGGCCATGCCACAGTCTCTTCCCCTCCATTCTCCTCTCAGGATTTTGGGCACAAATACATGTGTGTTAAGCATGTTTTTCAAGCCAGCCATTGTGTCTGGGACTAGAATTACACAGTTGGCTGTGTGGGATCTAGCACCTTAACCACCATGCCATCTGCTGACCCTCTTCCTGCATTTTTCATGATATTCCTAATGCCCTAATAATTATATTATTATCCCACTGTTGTCCAGTTAAGTTGGCTGGAAAGGATAAACTTTCACACACACACACAAAATCATCAGCTAAGTACTTTTGCCTACTGTCTGTCTCTGACTCATTCAGTTTCTGTGATTATCCTGTCATGGAGGCTGAACAAGTGATTTACATTAAAGAATATAGGATGATCAGCTTGAAAAGCAGTTTTGTTATACTTAAAGGCATGGTTTGCTCAGGCTTTAAAACCAAGGATATGAAATTAAGTTGTACCAAAAACCTGAGCATTACATAGAGAAATATGGTTGATGTTTCCTAATCTATTTAATATCAAATAACAAGTATGTGCCAAGAAGACAGTGCTTTACCTATGTTTTTACAATGATTGGATTCTAATTTGGTAGTTGTTAATGCTTTGGCTTTTATTTCCAGCTTCAGGAAGATGAGTTGAGAGATGCAGTGGTACTGGTTTTTGCGAACAAACAGGATTTGCCAAATGCTATGGCCATCAGTGAAATGACAGATAAATTAGGTCTTCAGTCACTTTGTAACAGAACAGTAAGTATCTGGAGGTTGACCTAATCTGTTCACTATTAAAGTTATTAAAATGATTATTTAATATTTTGTTTAAATATTTGAGTTTATTGTTCCCTTTGAATATATAATGAGCACATCATTTATAAAAAGAATAGGAATATATTCTCTTTCTATATAAAAACCAGGTTTCAAAACATATTGTTTTCAATGGTTTCAAACCATTATGCTGTTTTCAATTTTACTTCCTTTTTTTTTTTTAAGGTTTTTGTTATAGATTGTGTGCATTTGCTGGAAAGGAGAGAGACAGAGATTCAGAGAGAGGAAGAGAAATCACTCCTCAGGGGGAATGGCCACACTGCAATCCCATCCCCTCTTTACTCCTCTTGGGATTTTGTGCGCACACACACACAAGTGTCCAGAGTGATTTTCAACCTGCTAGGTCTGGGACTCAAACCAAGCTCCAACACCTTAACCACTATGCCACCTGCTGGCACCTAAATTCTTTAAAATTTTTCAGTGTCTTTTTTAAGGACCTAAGGGTTTGTTTATTTGATTTTTGTTATCTTTATCTTTAGTATTGATAAAGATGAGAAAAACTAAGAGATTGAGATATAGGGACCAGAAGATGACATAATGGTTATGTTGCCCGACTCCCATGTGGTTGACCGCAGTTTGAGTCCTAGACCCAGCGGGTTAGAACTGACACTGGGGGGGTGTGTGCATGCATGCCCAAAATTCCAAGAGGAGAATGGAGGAGAAGGGATTGCTGTTTGGCCATCCCCACCCGGGGGGGTTGATTTCTTGTTCTCTGTCTCTGTCGCTCTCTGTTTCTCCAGCAAGTACATGCATCCTATAGCAAAAATCTCTTTTTAAAAAAAGAGATTGAGTTATCTAGATATCTTGATAATAATTTTAATGTTCTTTTAAATAGCTTTTAGAGGAAATTTTGTTTTGTTTCTGATTTTGTAAGATGTGTGTGTCCCTGAGGGAGATTGAAAGGGAGTGGGAGAAAACACTATCCCAGTGAGGCATGATCTCACCTTAATTCCTACTCCTCCATTTCTCCATCTTGTTGGGATTTGGGGCTTGTATGTACACATGGCTGGTGTATTTTTCAGACCACCATAGCTGGTAATTGAACAGTGCAGACAAACATATGAGATCTGGGTCCTTTAACCTTTAGGCTGCAAAGTAATTTTAACTTATATTGAAATAGTTTTGAAGGTCTTTAGAATATAAGATTATGTACTTGCTCCTATTAGGTCAGTGATTGAGGTACTAGAAAAACACAACATACTGTTTTATATTTAAAGATGGCATCACAAACTGTTAGTGTCATGTACTTTACATCAGGATTGACTTGTGTACAAGGCAAATAGTCTGCTCTGGTTTTAAAAAAGTACACACACAAAACAAAGCTGTATAGCCTGTTGGAGACACTGCAGGTTGATTTAAACAAGATAAATGATACAAGTTTTTCATACTGTGTAGATATGAATTCATGCCTTTGTCCAGCTTTCTACATTACTAAGGTATTAAGTATTCAAACATTAAAGCAAATTTTTTATCCTTTTTTTTTTTTTAAGAGAGATTTTTGCTACCAGGCACGTATGCCTGCTGGAGAGACAGAGAGACAGAAAGCGAGAAGTCACCCCGCTCCAGGGGGATGGCCACATTGCAATTCCTTTTTCTCTCTCTGGATCTTGGGTATGCATGCACGTGCACCCAGCATAAGTTTTAAGCCAGTAGGTTCAGGACTCAAACCACAGTCGACTACTTGGGAATCCAGCAAAGGAACCATTACCTTTTTTTCTTTTTTGGAGAGGTTTTTGCTTGGAACCATTACCATTTTTTCTTTTTTGGAGAGGTTTTTGCTATAGGGCGTGTGCGCTTGCCAGAAAGACAGAGAGAGACAGAGAGACAGAAAGCAAGAAATCCCCCTGGGGGGATGGCCACGCCGCAATCCCTTCTCCTCCATTCTCCTCTCAGGATCTTGGGCACGCACGCACATGCACCCGGCATGAGTTTAAGCCACCGAGTCCAGGACTCGAACCACGGTCAACTACATGGGAGTCCAGTGACATAGCCATTACGCTAACTGCTGATCCTGATTGGTGGACTATTTTTAATGTTTGAGTCAGGAAATTTAAACACTGTGATTATGTGTAGTCTTGTGCTAATCAAGTATTTCTTGCCCTTTCATTACAGTGGTATGTACAAGCCACTTGTGCTACACAAGGAACTGGTCTGTATGAGGGGCTTGACTGGCTGTCAAACGAGCTTACGAAACGTTAAGTGAAACTGGACATCTAACCAAGGACATGTTGGATAGAATTGGTCTAGCCTTGTTACAACACGGTTAGTGTCCATCTTGGTTACTAAACAGTTTCTGGGCCAGGTTTGGGCAGAATATTCCAGCAATTAAACTTATTTTATTGCCAAGTACCGTTTACCAGTTAAAATGTTATTTAGCAAGTACTTGATTTTATGGAAATACTTGGGAAGAAAGTGTCCTTTTCATTTTATTTCTCATAAGCTTAAATGTCTAGACATGCTATTGTGACACCTTTAAATAAATGTGGTTTGAATTTTTTTTGAGCCCACAACAAATAATGTTTTAAAGTTAACTCTTTGTTGAACTGGCTGTGTTGTCTAGTGGTTAAGGAACCTAGATCCCACTTGACCAATGGTATGGTTCAATCCCAGCCCTGGTGGCTGAAAAACACCTCAGACAAATGTATCTGCAATTCCCAAATCCTGACAGGATAGAGAAATGGAAGAGAAGGGGTGGAGATGTGACCATGTCCCATTGAGAGATGCTTTCCCCTTCTCCCCTTTCTCTGATGAGTGTGCATTCCCCCTCTGGTTTAAAAAAAAAAAAAAATGTAATCTCCTTGCTATGTGTTTCTTGGTGTGTTTTTTGTTTAAGGGAGATTTTTGGTATAGGGTGTGTGTGCTTGCCAGAGACAGAGACAGACAGACAGAAAGTGAGAAATCACACCCCAGGGGGGATGGCCACACCACAATTCCCTTCTCCTCCATTCTCCTCTTGAGACTTTGGGCATACACACACATGCGCCTGGAGTGAGTTTTAAGCTACTGGGTTCAGGACTCAATCTGCAGTCGACCTTGTGTGAGTCCAGTGGCGCAACCATTCTGCCATCTGCTGGTAGCTATGGTTTTTTTTGTTGTTTATTTTTTAGTTTTTTTCCATAGGTACATGCCCTGGCTGGAGAGACAGAAGGGGAAAATGAGAAATCACCCCCTGGGGAGGGGATGGCCATAGCACAATCCCTTCAACTTCATTCACCTTTTGGTATATAGGGCACATGCACATATGCGCCCAGCGTGATTTTCAGCCATTGTGTCTGGGGCTCAAACCACAGTCGGCTGTGGGAGTCCAGTGCCTTAACGACCACGCCAACTCCTGGTCACCCTCCTTACTACTGTACTGGTATCTTTATCATCCTTGGGCAGTCTACTACTTGAAACACGTAGCATTTTATTTGTATGTATTTCTCCTCCTTTGCAAAAGGATTTTCTAATACTTCTTGTAGCAGCCATGAACTATTCAGCTCTCTTGAATGGAGAAACATACGTTTTCCCCACTATTAACTTTTTCCTTCCATCAAGTCAAACTTATTTTCTTGGTATGGTTTGAATTGCAAAGAGTTCATATTGAAGTGTATTTTAATATTCAGCAGTCCTTGATATGTATTTTTTTTAATTGCTGGAGATCAACTAGAGAGAGGCAGAGAGAGGGAGAAAACACCCCACAATGGGGTTATGGGCACTCCACAGTCCCTTCATTACTCCACCCTGTCAGGATTTGGGGTATGCACGATCACTTGTCTGATGTGTTTTTCTAGCTACAGAGGTTGGCTATGTGGGATCAGGCTCCCTTAATCATTGGGCAGGTTGTGATCTATAGTGTATCTTTTTTATGTTGTATGCTGCTTTCAATATCAGCCTGGCTCTTTTTCTAGTATATTATTGTTTTGCTGATGTTTTGTTTATTGGTGAACATATCTTTATTAAGAGTTTTTGGAAAGCACTTGTCAAACTCAGTTTTCTTAATAACCCATTTGAAAATATTCCTAATAAAATGGTAGAATATGAAATTATGTGTGTTCTTTTTGAATCTCAAAGATATTTGAAATGGATTTTCTTTTTTTTTTTTTTTTAGAATTATTTGTTTTATTTTATTTTTTCAATTCACTTAATTTGACCAGAAAAGGAAAGTGAGAAAGCAAGCCACAAGGTCCAAGACTTGTTATCGGTCATGTGGGAGTGTCCAGCATCTTGACGATCATGCCACCTGCTGGTCCCATGAGATGGATTTTCCTACATAGCAAAGTCAATTAGCATGTTTTACATACTGTGAATAATAAAACAGATTTCAGTGGACTTACTAATTGTTTGTATTGAAACTTAATTTAGGTTAGAGTAGAAAAGTTGAAATTTTAGCATCTGATAAAATACTAACGTAAAAGGCTGTAGTAAAGTGAACTACCCAAAAAACACATATACAGGGACCAGCAAATGGCATAACGGTAAAGTTACTGGACTCTCACGTAGTCGACAGTGGTTCGAGTCCTGGACCCGGTGGCCTAAAAATTCAAGCCAGGTACATGTGCGTGCATTCTCAAGATCCCGAGAGGAGAATGGAAAAGAAGGGATTGATTTCTCACTTTCTGTCTCTGTCTCGCTAGTGAGTGCATGTGCCCTATAACAAAAATCTCTCACTAAAAGAAAAAATATATATGTGTGTGTGTGTGTAAGTATGTAAACATATACACACACATATATACACACACGTTTTAGAACTAACAGTTAAAAAATATAAGTGTTGGGCCAGCAGGTGGCATGGTGGTTAAGGCGCTGGACATTACCACATGGCTGACCACTGTTTGAGTCCCAGACCTGGTGGCTTGCTTACTCACTTTTCTTCTCTGTGTGTCTGTCTTTCTCTGGTCAAATATAAATAAATGAATGAATAAATAAAATTAAATAATTCAAAAACATATATATAAGTCCTGACGGTCAGCAGGTGGCATGGTGGTTAAGGTGCTGGATTCGCATATGGCCAGCAACAATTCCAGTCCTGAACTTGACCGCTTGAAAAATCACTGGGAGAGTATGTGTGCATGTCCAAGCTCCCAAAAGGAGAATGTAGAAGAGATTGCAGTGTGGCCATCCCTGGTGGGGGTTGAGTTCTCACTTTCCAATTCTGTCTCTTCAATGAGCATGTGCCCTGAGGCAAAATCCTAAAAAAGTAAGTGCTGTTTGCATGATTGAATACATAGACTATTAGTAATACTCCTTTCTTACAAAGAACAAAATTCTCAAGCACTTTTCTTCATAAATTTTAGAACTTCCAGCAGAAAGCTGCCTGAGACTAATTGTCAATAAGGCAGTAAAGACATACACTTCATTAACTACATCCTGTTACGAAGGACTCACCTTGATAATTTTGACTGTTACGTTTTATATATTTTATACGATTTTATGATACTTAAGGGCTTTTATTGAATCAGTTTATGCCTTAGAAATTTATTTGTAAAGCCAAGTATGTGCTTATAAAGAATATTTTTGAGAGCTGGCAGGTGGCGTGGTGGTTGGAGCTCTAGACTCCCACATGGCTGACTGTGGTTTGAGTCCTGTATCTGGCAGCTTGCTTTCTCATTTTCCCTTTCTCTTTCTCTCTCTGGTCAAATTATAAAATTTAAAAATCTCTATTAAAAAACCTATTTTTTTAATTAAAAAAAAGACCACTGGATTAAGCAAAAGGAAAATGGAATTAATATCTTGTTAGGCCAGCAGGTGGTGTGGCAGTTAAGGGCGCTGGACTCCCACATGGCCGACTGCAGTTCAAGTCCTTGACCTGGCAGCTTGCTTTCTTCCATTCCCTCTCTCTGTCTCTTTCTCTGGTCAAATTTAAAAATAGTAACAAAATTAAATATTTTTTTAAGATTATATTGAACTTTATTAATTTGTTTATTTTAATTTGACTAGAGAGGGGCAAAATGTGAAAAAGAGAGAAAGAAAGTGAGAAAGCAAGCTGCCAGTACCAGGACTCAAACCAGGGTCGGCCATATGGAAATCCAATGCTCTTAAACACACCACCTGTTGGCCCAAATAAATAACTATTTAAAAAAAACAACAACAACAATGTTGTCATACTTGATGTAAATTTTTTTCTTTTCTTTTTTTTTTTGGTTAGAGGTTTCATGTGTTTTCCAAAGAGAGTCAGAGAGGAATAGGGAGAAAGCACTTCTCAGTGGGTTTGTGGTCATGGTGTAATCCTTTCCCCATTTCTCTATCTTGTCAGGATTTTAAGCACACATACACTCCTAGTCTTAGCATGTTTTTAAAGCTGTCAGGGATTTTAGGCATACATGCACAAGCACCTAGTGGAGTTTGGGATTCCAATTGCAAAATCCACCATGTGGGACCCAGTGCCTTAACCACCATGCCACCTTCTGGCTTACTAGTCAGAATTATTTTTTAAAGAATTATTTAATTTTGGGGCCGGCAGGTGGTGTAGTAAAAGGCACTGGACTCCCACATGGTCAACTGCAGTTTGAATCCCAGACCTGGCAGCTTGCTTTCTCACTTTCACTCTCTCTCTCTGTCCCCTTCTAGTCAAATTTAAGTAAATAAATAAATAAAATATAGTTCAATAAAATATCTTTAAAAATTTCTTTAATTGTATTATTATTTTTCAGTTCACCAAACAGCAAGAAAGAAAGAGAGCGAGAAAGTAAGCTGCCAAGGTCTAGGACTCGAACCACAGTCAGCCATGTGGGAGTCCAGGGCCTGCCTTAACCACCACAACACCTATTAGCTCCTACTATTTAGAATTTTAAAAAGAACACACATTATTGCTAGACAAGATCTGATTACTGATGCATTACGAACTATCACCAAACACATCTGCTGTATCAGTAACTATGAAAGAGTTCATTTTAATTTGTTCTTAATTATTTTACTCATAATCAGAAAATTATGGAATGTTAATTGGTACAGTTAAGAACAAGCGACATGATAAAATGTGGTTTGCCATAGAAAGCTGGACTTCCTGGAACAAGCAGATGGCATAATGGTTATGTCACTGGACTCCCAGGTACGTGTCTGCGGTTCAAGTCCCAGACTTGGTGCCTTAAAACTCACACAAGGAGCATGTGTGTGCGTGCCAAAATCTGAAGAGGAAAATGGAGAAGGGACTGCAGTGTGGCCATCCTCCGTAGGGGGTGATTTCTTGCTTGTCTCTCTGACGAGTGCACACACCTTATAGCAAACATCCTTTTTTTTTTTCTTGGAGAGGTTTTTGCTATAGGGCGCATGCGCTCGCCAGACAGAGACAGAGATACAGAAAGCGAGAAATCACCCCCCCGGGGGGATGGTCACGCCGCAATCCCTTCTCCTCCATTCTCCTCTCGGTATCTTGGGCACGCACGCACACGTGCCCGAAGTGAGTTTTAAGCCACCGGTTCGGGACGCGAATGGCAGTTGACTACATGGGAGTCCAGCGACATAGCCATTACGCTAACTGCTGGTCCCAGCAAACATCTCTTAAAAAAAAAAAAAAAGGAAGCTGGACTTCGTTTTTAGTTTTTCTCTGTAGGCTTCACATACTCACCAGGGAGAAAAACTGACAGAGATGGGAAGTGAGAAATTACCCCCTGGGGGAGTGGCTATTGCCTCAGTGATCCCTTCTCCATTCTTCTGGGATCTTGAGCACACATATGCACACGTACCTGGCATGTTTCAAGCTACTAGGTTCAGGACTTGAACTACACCATTGGCCAGGTAGGATCCAGTTGTCTCAACCACACCACTGGTTGGTTCACCCCATCTTTTATTACATTAAAATATACTAAAAAATATAAATTCAATGGAAAATTTAATCACAAAGTTGGCTTTAAAAAGACATTTCTGAATCACAATTTTAACTCAGGAAAATGTGAAATTTTGTTATGCTACATAAAATTTTTACTGTTCTACCTTTGGACTACAGTCATTCTAAGCTCTGTATAATGGAGGTTTGATCAGTGCATATCATAAGTCACAATTAGATTGCATATCTTAATTATTCAGAAATGGCTGTATAGAACGTAATTATACTGTCTAGTGAGCAAATATTTAAGGATTTAGAACACAATGTTGGTTAAGTGCTCAGAATTTTTCTGACCAGAGTTCAAGTCAGCCATGGTATTAATGTAGGATCCATATGTTCCTTTCATGGTCATCGATGTTTTTGTCACATTATAAATTTTGATTTCAAAATATTTCTCAAGTTTTTGCTAAGAAATTTTTGTTTCTTCTTAGGTTACTCAATAGTTCATTTAACATACTTGTTTGAAAGCAGACCAAAAACAATTTTCAAAAACAACAAAGAAAACTTTTTACAAAACAGATTTTGACTTTAATATATTGTTTGTAAACTGATGTTAGTTAACATGTTCTCAAAAGTTATTTAGGAAGAAACACTTTGGTAGCATCAATATTTTATTTACACTGTTTTATAAATAAGATCTCAGGAAATTGCCATCTTTATTTTTCCTTTCAAGTATTTTCAGGTTTGATTTGAGGTAGAAGTAATACATGACCCTTTAATTCTCAAACCTATTAACTTTAAAGTTAACAATGCAGTTGGTAGTGGGGCAGAATAGGAAAATACAGACTACTTTATCAAAAGAGGACATTTCTTGTGGTACTGGGTTTAGCAATTAAAGAATATGAAATTAGGGTTTTCATAATGGGAAAAGTCAAAGTTCCTCTTGAGATGGGTAAACTTTTAATACCTAAGCAAGATATTAAATGCAGAAATACAACATTGCAGTTATCCTACACATCAAAAAAGCCACACTGCTAAAGCATTACAAATGAGATATGGTAATAACTGAATTATAAAAACTTGGTTAGGACTCTTGCTTACACACTAATCAATACAAATTTTTATCATTTCAAATTTTAGGGAGTTTGGCTTTACATTTTTCTTTTTAGAAAGATTTTTGCTCAAGTGTGTGTGCTTGCAGGAGAGACAGAGAGACAGAAAGCAAGAAATCACCTCGCAGGAGGGTACGGCTACAGTACAATCCCTTCTCCTGTATTCTCCTCTCAGAACTTTGAGTCTACACTCAAGCCCCTGGCCTGAGTTTAAGCTTCTGTGTCCGGGACTCTAACTGCAATTAACTATGTGGGAGTCCAGTGACATAACTATTATGCCATCTACTGGTCCCGGTATTTTCCTTTTGTAATATACAAACTATGTATACTATTGTCCTTAACTCAAGGTACAGTTTTCAAAACTATAAAAATAGTTCTTTATTTCAAGGACGTTCAAAAGTCCCACTGCCCCACTTGTATAAAAAGTGAGTTTCAAAAACACTTCTAACATCAGAATGCTGAATATTTCATCCAAAACTTCAAGCCCATATCAGTATGTACTTATTCATAAAGTAATTAGCTATATCATCTAATATCATATAGTCAAATACTCTATGAACATTTATCATGGGCAAGAGTAATTAAAGATGTGAGATCAAGTTGAGTATGTTGCTGCTATTCACATGGAATACTAAATTGTCCTTTCTAAAAATTTAAACAAGATGCAATAAAAATGAGAATATAAACTAGGTCCATTTGTACATTAAAAAATGAAATCCTAAAAAAAGAAAATAGCTTGTTAGCTTTGAACAAAAGATGAAAACCCATAACAACTGGTGATGTCATATTTAAATCCTTTGTGAAAGCTATGAAATTGTATTAAATTGCTGACCAAATTTAGGCAGAGGTAGACCCTAATGGTTATGTTATTCCTACTAGTGCAAGTACTTACGTATCTCACCATAACGTCTGTGTGTGTGTGTGTGTGTAATTTTGAACGTGGTAACGTCTGTGTGTGTGTGTGTGTGTGTGTGTGTGTGTAATTTTGAACGTGTTACAAAAGAAATAAGATCAAATGGTATTTAAAAAATTCTTATTGCTAACTAATAAAAGATCATGTATAAAAAAGTACACAATTCCACTTTCTTCTTGCTAGTCATAAATATATTTGTTTTTCTTCAAAGTGGTGGGAAAAAGGGTAAACTGTATAATGTAAACATTATGAACAGTGTTATAATGAAAACATATGGAACGTAACTAGTAGGGTATGAACATTTTACCTTATTGTGTATTCTTCCTTGCAGGTTACATTTAAGCTTTGATTTTATATATATATATATTTTTTTTTTTTCTTTTTTTGGGGGAGAGGTTTCTGCTATAGGACACGTGCACTCACCAGACAGACACAGAGAGACAGAAAGCAAGAAATCCCCCCCCCAGGGGGGATGGCCACGCTGTAATCCCTTCTCCATTCTCCTCTCAGGATCTTGGGCACGCATGCACACGCACCTGCTTGAGTTTAAGCCACCGGGTCTGGGACTCGAACCACAGTCGATTACGTGGAAGTCCAGTAACATAGCCATTACACCAGCTGCTGGCCCCTAATTATATTAAATTATCTACTAAAGTAACTACAATACCTTTCTTTCAGATGTAAAACAAATTCCATTCCACATAAGTCTATTTCCATTTCAAATCACATACAAGTGCTATGTGATCAGAGGGATGGGAAACACTAGGTAAGGCCTGGTGGGTGGTAACTTCTTCATGGCTAGGTAATGGAATCACCTGGTCAACCTCTAAAGCATGTAAGTCAATGAAAATGTAATCTAGACATCCATGAAAGCCACCAACGTAATTTGTGTAAGCAGGTTCACCACAAGCACTTTTCAGTTTGAAGAAATGCCTAAGAGACATGTTGCATCTTTCCTCTTCCCCATTGGAAGCCCAGTCTTCATGATCCTCTGGAATGCTGCCATTGATGACAAAATGATACATTCCTGTTGACGGTGTACTATTAAAGTCCCCACAAAATATAACCGGTATGCCAGGATACAGATCACAAGAGACATGTCTAATGTGAGTCAATGCAGTTGCCATTTGAATGAGACGAATGTACCCACCTGTGAATATAAAAAACAATAATGGAAGTACTTTTAAAACAGAAGTAAAATAAGAAAAACCCCTCAAAATTACTATATCTGGGTAACATTCAAGATATATTTGTGTAAAACAGTTTAAGCAACCTTAAAAGTTGCTATACTTGTCACTTGTACAACCCACCTTTTGGATGCCAGTAGAGATGGGTGTTGGCAACACATATCTTTTTAGAAGAGTCCTTTGTAGACTGCAGAACTGAAACCTAAAACAAAAAGTGCCAAGAGTTCATTTGGTGTTCCTGAGTCCTCAATTTAAAAAAAAAAATTTATCTAAGACTATTAGATGAACATACATTTTATTTCACATCTTTCTCTTGATGAACTAAGATGGTAGCTGTGAAATTTTATTTCTACAAGTTTTAGGATATTTCAACACATGAATAAGATTCAGTGTAACATGTTTTAATAAAAGTCAAACACAGCCATATATGCTCCCTGACTCCTGATGGGTTGCATCCTGTTACACTGTGTGACTGTAATGCATCTATGTGTCCACATTCTTCCACTGCATGTCAGTTATTAAGGGGTCACAAATGTTACATCTTGTTTCCTTAACCTTACTACTATAGGGATGTTAAAGCTCTTAGATCTGTACTACCGGGATATTCACACTTTGCTCCTAAGCTTTTCCCAACTGTTTAACCACTTTAAGTAAGGTCCCAGCTCACCTGAGTAAGCACAAGCTGTGAACTGACTCAGACCTAGATTAGAATCTCCAGTTCTAGCATTTACAGCAGTGTGACCTTAGAGAGATACTTTCCTAAGCCAGTTCCCTACTAGTAAAAACAGGTAATACCAACCACCTCCTGGGGAACTGCTGTGTGGATTCAGTTTAATGAGCTTATAAAGAGCAGCACAAAACGCAGTAGGGACTCAAAGAAATTATCATTTTTCTTATATGAACAAAGTAAGTTACTCAAAACCTTTGGACAAACACACAGCCTGTTTTAAAAGCAAAGGGAGCTTTAAGCGAAGTAGCAGGAATACCCTGCCAAGTGATGATCTATATAAAAACAAATAGGTGGGCATCCTGTTCACTATACTTGTGTGAACTTGGATAAGTAAATGAGCATTTCCCACTTACAAAATAGAAATAAGAACATCTATAAAGTGAAAATGGAGGGGGCAGCCTGGGATCAGTTAGCTGGATCCTGCTTGGCCAACATGGGTTGGAGTTCTGGAACTAGATGCAGGAAAACCACATTGGGCGTGTGTGTGCCCAAAACCCCAAAAGGAGGGAGAAAAGGGAAAAAAAGGGATTACACTGTGTGTGTAATCTCCCGGGGGGGGGGGGAAGGAGGCTTTTTCCCTTTCCCTTTCTGTTTTTCTTTTGAAGGATGCTTTCTCCCTTTCCCTTTCTGTTTCTCTTCTCCATGAGCACATGCACACTTTTTTTTTTTTTTAAGAATGACACTAGTGGAATCACTGTGCAGCTTAAACAAGCTAGTGGAAACACACCACTTAAAACACTTAAAGCACTTTAAATGTGTCAGAACAGTGTTTGGTGAGTAGTATAACATTAGTATAACATCTGATACTGCCATTATTGTATTCTCGAATGTATTACTATATTGCAAGCACTGTGAAAGGCCCTTTTTGTCTTGTTCAAAGTAAACCTGCAGCAGGACTGGCACGCAGAGGTACACAGTAAATATTTGCCAAGTGAATGGATGAGGACTAAACTCTGTGCTGAAGACAGAACCAGAAACACCTTATCATTAAACCTGAGTAGTTTTATCTCTCTTTAATTTGCTAAAGAGCAGGTGCACTATCTCAGGGGGAGAGAGAACCTAAGAAAGCACCCCAAGGGAGCTGGCCAAACCACAATCCCTTTCCCTTCATTTCTTTGTCCTTTTAGGATTTGGGACATGCATGCACACGGACTCCTGTTTTTTTAAGCTGTGGGGTTGGGACTCAAACCGCTAGGTGTTCCACGAAGGATCCCATCACCACAACCACCAGACTAGGGGCTCCTTTTCATCTCTACTTCAAAACCCACCTATAGGGGCCAGCAAGTGTCGTGGTGGTTAAGGACGCTGGACTCCCACATGGCTTGCTTTCTCTCTTTCTGTCTCTCTATCTCTCTGTCTCTGTCCCTCTCTGCTCAAATTAAAGTTAAATAATCCTTTAGGGAAAAAAAAAAACACCTCTACCCTCCGCATTCCAGGTTCCCATAAGTGGCCGAATATATTATATGAGGAGACAGAAGAGATACCTGAAGGACAGAAGATCTCTGGAACACT